CGGGCCCGCCGAGGCCGCCGCCTGCCAGAGGCGCCTCGGTAACAGCCCGCGGCCGGTCACCGGCTTTGTGAAGGGCTGCGGTTTGGGAGGTGGAGCTCGACCAACGTGCCCTCCCGTTAGACTGTGTTAGAGGTTTTCGCGTAAACAGCCCATGAGCGTGGTGCAGTTCGGCAGGGTGAAGGCCTGTGACGCTGACTCACTTTTGATCCTTACGCTAAAAGCACCTCCGATTTGTCGAGGCGGAATAACAAGAACGAGCAGAGTCACGCGGTTATATTGAACCGCCAGGCGTGGACGATGCAGATCTTCGTATGTCTTGATGGTAGTTTTTCAGGGTTAAGTGCTTCTCCATAGAATTTGAACTGATTTAGTAATGATCATCTCTGGGCAAGGATGAGATGTGATTTGGTGAAGCGCAAATTCTATGTGAACCGATTTAAGATAATAACATAACGTGATTGTCGTGTGAGTAACGTAGGAGCAGAGACAACGTGAAAACAAATTTACCCAAAGTCTGCACAACGTCTGTAAATGTGTGCTTAGTGCCACATGCCTCAAGGTAAAGTTATCGAGAAGCACAGCTCACGGGTGCTGAATGCTTGTCTTTCTGCAGATTGTCCCTTTCCTTTTGACCTGTTATCCGCCAGCTTTCTTGTAGATACTGTTGCCAACTAAGATAAATATTTTTTGTTCCTGGTGAGGGATGCAAATTCCTTTTGTCATCTGGGCTCGTTCTTAGAATTTGAATGGTTATTTATAGCAAATTCAGTGCAACAAACAACTGAAAATGCCTTTTAAAATTTTTGTTGCAGGTAAAGAAACTTGGTATTGTTGCTGTGAGTAAGTATGGGCAGATTGTTCATCTTTTTTTTTAACACCTAATATCTGCAGCTAATTCTGAATTAAAAAATGGAAAATGAATTCTTTATATAAATATTTACACTGAACTATGTTAAAAGGAGTTTTGGAATGAAATACCACGTATTCAATTTGGAAATAAGATTGCCCTTACGACCATAACTTAGTTCTCTTAGGGATATACCTTGTGCGCTTCCCACTTTTTCATTCTGTTCTTAAAAAAGGTTTTAAGGAATGGGCAGTGAAGAAAGCTGCTATTTCCAGATCCCTTGTTTGTTATTACTTTTATTGGAAGTCTGTATAATAAGAGGGAAGTGAATACTGGAACAGATCAGGTGGGGATTGGACTAAAAGACTTTGAAAATTGGCGGGACTGCTGGGTACAAAGGGTAGGACTCAGTGGCTTGATATCCAGTTGGCAGCAACTGGATATAGGTGCTATGGCACCTTATATGTCAGTAATAGAGCCCATGTTGTTCAGTACCTTCATCCACAACCTAGATGATGAGATAGTATCGTCTGCAAATTTTTGCTAGGAATGCATTCTATGTTAGGAGGAGTAGCTGACACGTGGAATGGCACGTGGATTCTGGGCCAACAGAACCTCCCAAAGTTTAGCAAGGGCAAGTGCAGAATTTTGCACCTGGGACAGAACAAGCTGGGAACTGAGCTGCAGTCCTGCTGGAAAGGAGCTGGGGTTGCAGCAGTGCCAGGTTGAATGTGAGCCAACAGTGCAGTCATCGTGAATAAGGCAAGCCACGTACTGAGCTACGTTAGGAGGAGCCTGGCCAGCAGACCAGGGAAAGCTGTTATTCCCCTCTACTAAGCACCGATGAGGCTGCACCTGGGCTGCTGTGTCCAGTTTGTGCACCCCTGCCCATTCAGGAAGGATGTTGAGAAAATGGAGAGAATCAGGGACCTACAGCACATGGCCTGAGAGGAGACTGAAATAAGTTGATTTGTTTAATCTTGTGAAGAGAAAACTAAGGGGTGACAACTACTTGAAGAGCAGTTACAAGGATGGCAGAGCTGAATTTGCGATAATAGTGGCAGACAGAATAAGAAGGGACAACAGCCACAGATTGCAGCTTGAGGGGTCAGAATGGAAGTTAGAAAAAATATCTTCACTAAGAGGGAACGGCAGTGCAATGTAGCGATTGTGAGATCTGCTTTGTTGGAGGTTTTCGACACTTACCTGGGTGTAGCTACAGCTAACCTCATTTAGTACTGGGGATGATCAGCTTTTTGGGAGGGACTGGGTGGGATGCTCAACTATTGACTTCCAAAGGCCCCTTCCAGCCAATGCTGATAGGATTCTGTGAGATGAATGCTGCCTTGAAAATTAGGATTTTACTTCTGTGTGTCACAAAGTTTTTACGCAGATCTCATAAAAAGTATATTTTTGGTTAACTGAGCACCCGGAAACTTGAGAATAATCACTGTTCCGCAACTGGGACTGAATTTAGAAGTGTAGTAGTGAATACTTAGAGCTGTAAACAATTAATGGAAGTTCCGTTTTTAACATATAAAATCATAAAAGTGTTGCATATTCTGTGAAGTCTTAAGCCTTTGGAAGAGTTGAGACACAATTTATTTTTTCAATCATGATTTTGTATTTATGTGCTTCTCTATGTGATGTTATCAGTTTAGTGATGTTATGTGATTGATGCTCTGAACTATTTAATCTGGGCTTGTCTATAACTGTCTTGGCCTAATCAGACTTGCATGCCGCTTATGTGGAGGACCACATATCTGTGCTCTGATTTTAGGCATAAGTCCCTTTAGAAGTGTTGTCAGAAGATATCTAACATGTATAAACAAATGAAACCTCCCATAAGGTTCAGCTTTTCTTATTTTGTTTAGCTCTTCCCCTTGAAGTTGTGCTGCAGTACAGCGAAGAGTATAAAGAGTATAGGATTCTTTTCATCAGATAATTCACAGTATAGAGCAATATTGGGGGGCATACTGTATGATCGTGTAATAAGTTTGCTGTTCTTCCATGGTGACTGAGTTAAGGTTGCACAGATGATTCTTGGTCTTGTGTTTTTCAGACAGTCTTTTAAGTGGGGTGACTTTTATTCTTATACTTTTCTAGATGTAGGAGTATTCTCTCAGGTTTTTATCACATGGAACCCTATCAGCCTCCTCTCAGTGTGATTTGGAGCTTGGATCTGTAACATACTCTTTTACCACTTGAGCTAGTTCAGTAGCTGATTGCAGTAGTAGATTTACGTTCTGAATCAGTCACTAGGTGGGAAATGATGTATATTCTTAAAGCAGTAAGTTCCCTATCGGCTATGCTGTCCTCAGTAGGAGTGTGGCAGTAGCTTCCAGGCTTGCAGAATGGCGTAACCTAATAGGCGTTGCTCATTCTGTGTTTTTCATCTGTGTTTCCAGTCCAGTGGGCCGTGGGGCTGTGAGAGTCCTTAGAAGTGTTATTTTGGGATAACTTCTTTATAAACCTTCAGAAATTTAATATTTGCCTTTACTTGCAGTGTTAATTAAGTGTTTTATTATTAAGTCTTTTTCAAAAGAACCACATTGTGACTTTTTTCAATGTGGTGTTGCTTGTGTTCTTCTAAATTGTATGCCTTTAAGACCATGTTCCACAGAATAGCTTTCTTGGTAGGTTACCATGCTAAACAAATACATTGTAGGACTTTCCCTTTTGTTATGAACCTGAAACATGTTGAACTTCCCTCTCTTTTCATTAACAGGTAATGCTTTGTTAGAAGATATTACTTGTTTGGCAGCAGACCGAATGTTGGTATTTGCTTCATATGACAATGTTCTCCATGCTTTTGCCAGGAACAAAGAGGTTTTTATCATTTTACTTGTTACTTGGTAGTATGAAACAGTTGGGTAGGGTTTGTTTTCCAGGCACTTAATTCATTTTCTACACACTTACATTTCCATGGGTGTTTTATACGTTCGGTTTTAGGGAAACAAAACTGTGGTGTTCTGCAGAAGGAGCAATAAAAAGCTTACAGTAGGAGAATGTAAGAACCAATTCTGTAATGGCTGACCTATAGTTTATGTATTAATTGAAGTAGCTTGCCAACACTTTTTAATACCAAATAAAATAATGTGTCTTTTTTCATAAAGATGTGTCATCTTTCCCTGTATTTATTTAAACTTATTTCTAAAGTGTGTGTTGGCAGTCCTCAAGCAGTAAGCTAACATAATGTGTTGCCTGAACGGATTATATTGAAAAAATGTCTATTTTGAAATTCTAGGTAGTTCATACCTATGAAGGTCACAAGGCGAAGATACACCTTCTGCTGCCTTTTGGTGATCACGTCATCTCCGTGGATACTGCTAATGTTCTTATTGTTTGGGATATACAGTCAGAAGGTGAAATACTTTGTTATTGTTACAAGTCTAATGTCTCTATAACGTGTTAGAAATTAGTTTATTTTAAAAAAGCCTTAAACGATAATGTTGCTTAAACAGTAATTTGAATTGCTAATGCTGCAATAATTTTTCATGCATGGATCCTGCACCACGTGTAGAGACACAGTAAAGATCCAGATAGGCGTATAGAAGTCTGCTCGTAGAGGAATTACGTTTTGATGTTCGATTTTTCTGGTAAGCAGTGTGGTACAGCAGCTTTGGCATCATCTCTGAAATCCTGTAATACTTTGATCGTTATCAGTCTGGGTAAGACTAAGTTCCTATGAATAGTCTTTTAGTTGTGTCAGCACCTTCTTATGCCATTGAAAAGTGTCTTACAGAATTCTGTTTTCAGACCTGACTTTTCTTTAGAAAGCATTCTCAAACTGTGATGTTGGCCCATGTCATTCCCCGCGTGCTAGCTCTTTAAGTGGCTGCAAACTGGCTTTAGTGATTTGAAGTTGCTGTTACAAGCAAAAGGTATGCTGATCAGATGAGGTGATTTGCTCAGGCAGGAACAGGAATCCTTCAGAAAGATATAAATCACTGCAGTTTTGCCAGCGTGGTTGTGCTTGGTAGGTTAATAGGGAAAAAATATATACCTTCAGGGCAGCAGATGTTATAATGTGAACAAGTTTAGCCTGTCCAGTTATATGTTAGCTAATCCTTTCATGCAAGAAACCCCATACATTCATGCAGAGTAAACATCAGGTCTGCCTATCACGTTTTCCAAGGGATGAGGAGCCTGCAGATTTGTAGCAGTAGCCATACTAACATTATTTCTTGCTTTTTTGCAGAGGAATATCTTCAAATGGAGTTTGATAAGGCCATTTTTGCAGTTTCTGCAATTCTGCATCCAAGCACCTATTTGAATAAAATTCTCCTTGGTAGTGAACAAGGGACCTTGCAGCTGTGGAATATAAGATCCAAGTAAGATTCTTAATAACTCGAGTATACTTCATGCTCCAAGTAGTTTCATATGCAACAGCTAGTATTTTTAAGTGTGGTAATTTTTGAGGGTGGAATCTTTTACTGAGTCCTTTGGCAGAAATTTTCAGTTGGTTTATCTCCAGGAACACAAGAATGCTGCTGCACCCTTAATGCTGATCTCTTTCAAGTTGGGTGTTGTTTTTTCTGTCCTTGTGAAAAGTCAGGTATTGTTCAGGAGGTGTGTTTTTTTTTTTTTTTTTTTACTATGTTACCTTTTTTATTTCTTGGAATCACATAGCTTTCCCATAAAAATATTACTATTAGTAATATTAAATAGTAGATAGTATCTACTATTAAATTAATACTATTACTATTAAATTAATAGTAAAGTATTACTAAATGTATGTTCAGGCCTTCTGCCTCTCTTTTCCAAGCTTGATTGTTATAGTTGGTGCTGGTCCAATGAAGGGGTGGCAGGTAATGTGGAGGCAGTTAGCATCTGATCCTTAGACTTCAGTAAGAGATGCGTAGACGTGTGGTTGTCTCTGAGCATGTCCCAGTAAAGCAGCATCCATAATGACAGTATTTCATGCTTGCCACGATCTGCTGTTTTTTTAACTCTTGAAAGTCAGAGGAAATTCCCTGTTGCTATATATTAATGCATGTATTGCAGATATATGTTAATTCAGATTGCATGGCTGAGTATTTTATTCTCTTAACAGCTGTATACTTGCGGTGATACCACAGACTTTTTTGTTCCATATTTAGTGTTTTGGAGATGCAGTATACACTGCATATAAAACGGGAAATATGAATAATCTAACAAATAAGCTATTTCTAAATACAACCACAGAAAAGGAAATGTCTGTACTCGTCCTACTCTTGTCTCAATCTTTAATGCCTGCCTCAGCACCTGAGATACGATACATGCAAAACATTAAAAAAATATTCCTTAGCTGGCTTAGATTCTCCCGTAAGTACATAAGAACTTAGGACACTTACTGTTTTTTCTGGCAACACAGCTAGGTTGAGTAATTTCTGTTCTCCACTGTTTTTTCTCTAAAACTAAACTGGCAGAATTAGGGGGAAGTGTTGGTAGCCTGTGGCAAGAGAGGAAAGTGAGAGATGGGAGCAAATTGCTATTGCCAATCTTGTAAGAATAGCAACCTATATCTGTGCCTGAGGGAACAATTTTTTAATTGCGTCTGTTCTTAAATCTCATTTTCATATTTACACCCTTAGTAAGCATCTAAAGCACTATGTGAATGCTTTGTGAACGTTCTTGCATCACGTTTTGGCTGTTAGCACTTATGCTCTTGAAAAAAAGAGGAAAGGGTATACTTGAAAGACAAATTAGTGTCTTCATGTGGTGAAGTTACTCTGCAAATGAAGAATTTGTTTTTATTAGAAGTTGGGCCAAGACTGGCTCATTGTGTGGATGGTAAAAGTTCTGAAGAGGTCTGCTTAGAGGAGAAATGCATAGGGAGCAACTGACTTGGAATGAGTCTTCTCCCTGTTTGTTACATAACAATGTGAACTTTAAAGTATTAATGCATGGCACTAATTTTTTTCATATAAATGTTCTTACCCATAAATTTTATTCCTCACCATATTTAGTAGTGTCATGGGTTTTTTTTTTTCTTTAAGCAATATATGAAGACAGAAATCTGTCTTACTTTTCTGTGTAAGTGTGTAAAGTGTCCATTTTAATGTGGAAAATTCCTAAACATAAGCTGATTGTTTTTGTTTGTTTGTTTTTGCAGTAAACTCCTATACTCGTTTGCAGGATGGGGCTTAGGGGTCACAACTCTTCAACAAGTTAGTATTTTTGGTATCTTACTGTCTTACGTAACTGGTTGAAAATAGCAGGCAAAATATTGTTGTTTAACATTGCAGTCATAAAGATAACTTTTACTCTTTCAAGTCATGCTAATAACCCTGTCTAGCTTTTTAGACGTTGAAAAGAGGTAGACTTGAAGGCTTATTATACGTCCTTCTTCTAGTCCTAGCAGTTCTCTCATATTTAGCATCTTAGCCACGTTGTATTCGTTGCTTCTGTAATCTTTAACTGAATGACCTAAGGAATTCACAGAAACGATTTGTTTGCAAGATGCAGGTGTATGATGTGTGACTTCGTTACACTGCTAGTTTCTTACTATTTAAAATTAATTTACCTTGGAGGTTTAGAAAATGTATGTCTGCTGATTCAAGAAGAGCTTTTATAATTGTATTTACTATATTTTTGTAAATATAAAAATGAATTAAAACTAACTGGTAGCATTTAAAACATTGGTGACAGCTCAAAAATGTTGGCAGTTGTCCTAGGTAAAACCTGTAAATGTGAATGAGCGAGGCAGGGGTGTATAATGGTCCACCAGAAATACTGAAAACTTAGTGAGCTGTTTTTCCAAGACGTTCAAGCTTCTGAAAACAGAACAGTTTTATCCAATGAAGAGTAAGTGCAAAGTCTTGCATCTCTCTATTTTTTTGTTTAGATTTATCAGATGGTCAGTCAGGTAATATAACTAGATAATGTCTTGCAAGATGCCTTATTTGTTTATACTTAACAAATTCTGTATTACTTGACCTAGACTTGGATCCGTTGTCTTGTACCTGCTAGTATTACTAGTGTAGGCACAAGCTTTTTGTTTTTCATTTCAGTTGCTATTCAATGTTTCTTGCAGGCCCCAGCAGTGGATGTTGTTGCAGTGGGTCTTGTATCTGGTCACATTGTTGTACATAATATTAAGTTTGATGAAACGCTGATGAAATTTCAACAAGACTGGGGTCCCATCACAGCAATATCTTTTCGGACAGGTAAGTCTTAGCGCTTTCCATGAAAATGTTTATAAAATTAATAGAAGGTAATGCTTTGGTAAGAGCATTTCGGAACCAAAGTATGGGATGAGTGTTAGACTCTTAGTTTTTAAAGGCTATAGATAATCTAAAGAAGTTACCAAAAAGTATGAGAGATTGTGTGTCTTTATCATGCTTGCTGTTTTATAGCACTTTCTTGTGCTCACACTCACAGTGCACAGGAAGCATGAAGTACAGTACTCCTTTTTTCAAAGTGAAGTGAGCCAGTTTGTATTTATAGTGTGCTAAGAGCTATCGCTGTGGGCGTTAGTGCACGGTAATCGGTACGCTGTAAGTTAGTACGCAGACTTACTTCTCAGTAGTGTAGTCCCAATGAAAACAAGTCAGAATGTTAATAGATACAGGTCTATCTTATACAATTGGATTATGCCTGAATGGATGTTACTGGGGATCACTGAACATATAGTAACTTTTTTTGTTTAATAAGCAAGTACTACACACTCAGCTATTACTTTAATATTGATCCTGCCTACAGCGTTGTGATCCTGAATCTCATCTCTCATTTAACTAGCCTAATTTTCACCTCTTAACAGAATATAGGTTGATGCAGGATCTATTGAGGAGGGATGCGACTGGAGAGACTTGTGAAAAGCAAAAACAGTGCCTTTTTGTGTCAGCCATTTAACCGGAAATATCACAAAAGTTAAATAATTGCTGTTGTCTGCTTGAACACACAGATCCTGGCAATTCTTTTCTTAGGCTCAGACTCCCTCCAATCTCCCTCTCTCTTCCTATCTCTACAGTTGCGAAATATAATGTAAAAATTATTGGATCAGAAGAACCATTTTAGCTCCTTTGAACTCATGTACTCATTTCAGGCTTTGAGTGAAGTTTTCTTTATTAAAATTAAAATGAGCTATTGGCAAATTTCCATATTGGTGAAGCACTACAGAAGAAGAAAGCCCTGGGCCTGTCTGTTTTAGCTGTCTCTGATGTGTGTAATTGTAAATTGGAAGCTTACCTTTTTTTTTTTTTTTTTTTTTCTTAGATCTAAAACATTAGTTACCAATTATGCCGGAAATAGATGACTCTCTAACCTTGATGTGATGTGTATCTAACTTACCTGAATATTTATAGTATGTTTCTAGAAGGTGGTATGGCCTGTTAATTTCCTTAACATTAGAAAAGGTAGAATAAGTAGAACAAAAATTAGAAATCATGTGAATTTAATTATTACTTAAAACAATTCAATAAGCATGTAAGCAGCTTGTGAAATTTTTTTGAGAGCTGTTGAGCCAAAAACTTAACAGGATTAAAAAAGAGTGTTAACCTCTAGTGTGGCGTTACAGTAGCTCTTACATTCTGAAGCGTAAAGGCTAATAAGTTTGGGCAAAAATGCAGAATATAGAATAACTTTTTATTCTATATTTATTAATAACTTAGAAACAGTGTCAGTCAAGATTTTTGTCTGCTTTCAAGCAAAACTCCTAGCCTTGGCTGTCGTATCAGAACGCTGCACTTAGATGTATCTGGTGTTATCTGATGTGAACAACTTGTGTTCTTATTATATCTTATTATTATTTATTTTCTCTTTAAAATACTAGAATATTTTGATTAAAAACATCTTTAGAGTTAACTTGAGAATTATTTTTTTTTCTTCAGAATTGTGACATACATCACTTTCTTGCATCAGTTTTAAGATGTGAGAAGTCAATAAGGTTGTACTGAATGTCCAGAAACAAACTTTTTTATTTTTATTTTGTGAGTAGATGGACACCAAGTAATGGCAGCTGGTAGCCCCGTTGGACACATTGCACTGTGGGATCTAGAAGAGAAGAAACTAATTAGTCAAATGCGAAACGCTCATTCCACAGCAATAGCTGGTATGTCGTTTGTCCCTGGAGAACCACTTCTTATCACTAATGGTGCTGATAATGCTATACGGGTAAGTTGCAATAGCTGCTGCTACCTGCTATTGTTTGTTTATTGTTGGGTTGTGATTTTCAAATGAAAGAAATAAAGCTCAGATTACTGAAGCTGCTGCCTCTCAGTCTCTGTTGATTCGTAATGAGGCAATTTAAGGGTCTACTGCCATGATGAGAACATGGTAGCCTTGAAGAACTAAGTTCTGGATCCAGTCTTCCGGAATCTCAATTTATAGCCTAGCGCACTAACTCAAATTTTCATTTACTTCAGTTTTTGTTAATGTTCTGGGCTGTGAACTGTTGCATCTGAGAAATGCCTGTTGTGTTGTGGGTTCTGTGATGCCAGTAACCTCGAGCAGAGGGGCAGAACGAACAGCTGGGAACAATCGGGTGCCCTGGCACCTCTAAAGTTTTAGGGCAAAGAGTAACAGCCCATGCATGGCATTTGCTGTGCCACCTCCTGGCTTACCCTACTGCCAAGAGGTGTAATTATTGGCACAGCAATGTTTACCAGCCTCATTTTTCTGCATTCTCTGGGGGCAGGTGTGGATTTTTGATGGACCCGGTGGTACTGGCCGTATATTAAGGAGCCGAATGGGACATAGTGCACCTCCAACAAAAATCAGATACCATGGGCAAAATGGAGAGCACATTCTTAGTGCAGGTATGAGTTCTCATTCTCATGTTCTCTCATGTTCTTCAGTCCGATTTCCTGCGAGGAGGATGATAAACAAGCAGAGCTCAATATTTTTGTGTTGTTAATGTAATAAATTATACTTCATGTATTATGGATTATATGTATTTATGAAACATAGCAAGTAATTAGTATAGATAGTGTCATTTATTGTTGTATCGAACTGTTTCGGTTACCCGAAGGGAATGCGTAGGCCAAGAAGTAGTTACAAGCAGACAAGCTTAGGAGCTGCTTTTGTTGCCCATGCTCATGTTTAGCAAAGAAAAATTGCTTCACTGTCTTCTAAGAAACTATTAACTGGTCAAATCAAAACTCTCAAAAAATTAGTGAAATTCTGTTTATGGCATGGGGGAAAGGAGGGAACTTAATGCATTTGGTATCTTGCAGGAGCCACTCCAGTTTTCCTGCTGTTTTGAGCATGGTTTGTGGGTTACAGATGCTTTGTAATTTGGTACATCTTAGTTGCAGCTGGAATATGTCTTCCCAAAATCATTTGTTACCAAGACATTACTCTAAAAATGTAAAAGTGACTAAATTTCCTTAGCAACTAACATATTTTCAAATCTATGAATGGACCCTTTAGGGAATTAGGTGCCCATTCAGACTCCATTTCTGAAGCGTCCTGGGCCACAAAAAAGTAAGAGACTCTTCAAGAAATTGTTTGCATGGGCAACGTTTGGAAACGTTATGCTACGTTTTTAATGAGTGTTCCGCCTAATATGGCACAGCAGTGCTAGCACCATCCACCGTAAAACATCTTGGGTGGTCAAGGCCGAGTCAGTAACTTAGCTCAGTCCAGACAAACCACAGTGACAATCAAATTACTTAATAAATCCTCACACTTGCTTTTGCAGTTTGCTGTTGTTAACTGTGCTTGGAAAAAAGGAGAGGGCACAGACGCAAGCTCTGAAGTGAAAAGGGTCTCAGGCTTTGAGATCTGATATATCTGCAGTGTAAGGGGACTCTCTACATTCCGTTTCGAACCACTGGCAAAACTTTGTGCAACAGAATTGGGATAGCAGTCCTGTGGGATACCTTTCAAGTGCTACTACAAATCTCCCTAAAACAGGCATTTGGACAAATAAACTTCCTAAGAATCTCACCAATCTCCCTGGTTTCATCCTGTTTAACACTGCTTCCAGTTCCCAACGTATTCATCCTGATTACATGCAAAGGAATCTCTTTCCTTGCAGTGTCCTGTCTATAAATATATATTTTCTACGTTACACAAGTTTTTCATTACTCCTGCTATGCTGTAGAGTTAAAGATTGCTTGAACACTGTGATTTCTCTGCTTTTACCTTTTGAGTTAACTTACTGGCTAGCCGAGGTCTGGCTCTTAACCAGCCATAGCGTGTGTAGGTTAGACAGGGGATGAAGAAAGGAATATTGTAGTTGGTAAGGCGGAAGTCATGGAGTCGTGGGAAAGCTCTGGAAGTACTATGGAGGGGTTTGAAGGACTTAACAGTATCTTTAATGTGATGGAAGGCTGGGAATAGCTGGATATTGTAATGAAGAAAGCAGGGGATAGAGAAATTGAAGTGTTTTAGGAGAAGATGAATAAAGAAGAGAGATGTCATTTTCATCTGTGTGGTGCAAATTGGTGGGAATGAGATACAGGCCATAGAAAAACTAGGCTTCATTAGCTTCACTGCTTATAGTATATCTACATTTCTCCTTGGATCAGAATTTTTACTAAATACTTTATAATAGTTTTTGTGGTTTCTGAGTGCTTCTCTTCCACTTTTCTTGTTTAGCTAGATTATGCATAATATAAAAGTTGATTTTTGTCCTTCCCTTCTCTACTATTTCATCAGGTCAAGATGGAACATTGCAGTCTTTTTCAACGGTGCATGAAAGATTCAATAAAAGTTTAGGACGTGGTAAGCATTTCGGTGAAAGTACAAATAGCGGTGAACAGAAATTGCAGAAGTATTTATGTCGAAAGAGGCTAAAATACTAGGCCTTATTAGGCCTTCAGTTAAACTATTGTGTGAAAGCCATGCACCTCAGCTGCTCAGCAAATTTAATCCTTCCTGATGTGTATAAAATACACTCCCAGATATGTTTAGCTGATTAAAATATTTAAGCGAAGTATTTTCTCTAACCTGACAGTATATGTTATTTCACTCTGGGAGAAGATGGGTATGATTTTGATGTTAAGAATGAATAAAACAGTTGGTGACGTTTTAGTTCGTTTTGCATGCTTAGCTTTAACTTTTTCTCCATTTCCCTTCCATTGAATTGACTAAATTAATATAAGTAATTCAGATTTCTTGACTTCGGTTCCTTGGATTTAATCATAGAGCTTAAGAATAAAAAACCCCACATCTTCCAAGTGCTGCCATGGTTGTGGGACGTTTTCTTGTACAGCTCAGAAAGTGAGGCTCAGAAAGACCGAGATAACTTTTGTTTTTAGTTATCTGTATCTATATGTGGATATCCAGGTATTTCAATAGATTTAAATAGACAGGTGTAGATGAATTGATTCAATGTCCAAAGTATATAAAGAATTTCAAATTCCTGAGTCTGGTAATCAGAGAGATGGATGTTAATATATTGCTTTAGGTAGTCATGCCTATATGACCATCTCTTTACTTGTGATGGTGGCATCTCTGCCTCAGGCTGTCAGCACGAGATCCTGGGAAAAAGTGAGTTGAGTAGTATGTCTTTGAATATGTCAAGCTAGTGATTTGATCAGCATTGCATGAATTGTGTGACAGGAACTCTGGTTGTGTTCTTAGCTCGTCAAACCCTTGGAAATGACAATGCTATGTCAATGTAGAGATCAATGTTTTCCACTGATGGATCATCTCGGACTTCAGATATTTTACACAAACGCTTGTCAATTAAACTAAAATAGTAGTTAATATCCTTTTCTTTCCTGTTCAGGGACTTGGCCCATATTTTCCAGAGAGGTGTTTGGATAGTTCCAGTCAAACAAAGGGATGTTTAGGTAGTGGAGATTATGGATTCTGTTTCAGGGAAGAATGTGCACTCTATTAGCTATTGATGATATATACCTTAGTATGACAAATACGAGTATTCTCAGTTTTTTTCTATTAAAAAAAAAAAAAAAGGCAAGTCCACAACGTCAAAACAATCCACTTGCTCCTTACATTACTGATAAGTTTCAAAAAACTGCTTCACACCATGGAGAAGCTAGAATTTATTATTTGGAAATTTCTGTAAGTTTCTTTGAAAATGCAAATTATGACCCGAAGCTTGAGTTAAAAGCACCTTTAAAGAGGGAACGAGGATTGGGTAGAGACAAGCTACCGATACTTTTAATTATGGGTGATTCTGTGTCTGTTCAATGTAATAGTAATTTCAAAAAAAAAAAAAAGCCAACATTTTCTATGTTTAATAGGAACTTTACATTTAGCAAATTGCCCATTTTAAACCAGTATTCTCAGATCTAGCCCTGAGATACTTATTTGTTTTTTTTTTTTTTAAGGTTCAATTAACAAAAAGAAATCAAAACGGAAGGGTCTTCAGCATGATACCATGGCACTTCCACCCATTACAGCCTTTGCTTCAGGTAAGTAATCTTTGAGATATATGACAGAGTTAATCATATCTTCATTGTTGTCTTTTAACCCTCAGAAAATTAATGGATTGAAAGTCCATGTGGTACTGATGAGATTATTGGTATTCTGTGGCCCTTCATGAGCTGTAGAATGCCTGTTTTAAAATGGCATTTTACATGGTAAACTCTTCTCTTACAAAGAGATTACAAAATAAATTATTTTTTTTTTCCCATTTCCAGTAAGAGCGTTTTATTTCAAACGCCTTTAAGTTTAACCAGCTTTTGTTTGGGAAAAACTCCAGTATAGAAGTGAAGAACTTTTAGCATACGTTCTGTTCCAGGCTGGAGGACCAGCAGTTAGGGTGACGAAGATCTTGGTCAGCTGAGGAATGCTTAGTTATAGCAGTTGGGTTTTTTTTTTTCTTTTTTTCGATCCCCAAATTCCTTTCTCCCCAAGCCCCGTTGACTCAAGTATACAAAGACATCAGATGTAACATACCAAAAAAGTATTGTTTGTTTTGTTACAATTTGAGTTACAACAGGTAATGTTTTGCCTTTTTTTTTTAATTTTTTAATGATAGCCCTTTGACTGTCCAGCATGCATCATTGACATAAAATGTTTTGACTAAAAGTATTTAAGATTGCTGTTACCTGTGATGTAAGAGAAGTTTATTTTACTTCAAAATTACTGTTTCTAAAATGAATGCTTGTTGCACTGCAGAAGTGGCTCGTCAGAATGACTGGGATGGTATTGTTGCCTGCCATCAAGGGTATATAACCTGTACAACATGGAACTATCAGAAGACTTCTATGGGAACTCATAAACTGAGGCCAGAGGCATTTAGCAAAAACAAACCTCTAGATATATATGCAACAGTAAGTTTATTCATGGTAATGTTTCTTCAGTGTTACAGTGTATGCCTTTTTGGTTGGTTGTACAGAAGCCGTATTTAGAATGAGAAAATACTAGCTAGAGGTGTTTCATTTAGTTACTTCGCAGAATCATTTTTTGCGAGTTCAGTGTGTCCTACTTCCTTTTTGTAATGCAAATGGTTTTAAGAAAAATGCCAGATATGCATTTTTCCTTAAACTTTCAGGTTAACTACAAATTCTGTTTTCTGATTCAGATACTTAGGTGGTCCGTGTTTACCTTTAATTTCTTTCAATGGTGTCGAGCTGATTATATACCTCTGATGGGAAACTCTCATGCTTGCTCTGTAAAGGCAAATTGTTGAAGACACTTTTTGTTTTTAAATAGGAAAAGTGTATTTTTCAAATTACAGGCAGGAAGCTCCCTTTAAAATGTTACGCAACTTAAGCTGCACACAGTGAAAGTCAAGCTCTCCCTGAAAGAGGTATAAATGTTTACTGTGGCTGAAGAGCTTGCAATACAAATAGTTACTGTGGCATAGCTCTTGTGCTATGAGTTCATAGTAGTACTTTATCCTGTGATATCTTGTTTATCTTATCTTACGCTTAGCAGTTTGTGGTAGATGCATGAGTTCTGCTGCAAATACATGGTGTCTCTTAACAGATCCTTCAGAGTTTACCTTTTCAAAGACCAGTGTTTCTTGGTACTTAAGCTCTGTGTGAACTGTTTTGGCGCCTTTTGCAATACTGGCATTTAAGGGGAGTGGTAGCGGGCATGCTTGGACTTTATCTTAGGGATTGAATTCATCGATGCTTTAATACTATAGATTACTTATTTAAGTTACAGTGTTCATGCTGTTTGGTATGACTTATGACGGGAAATGGATGTCGCTAAGTCAAGATCTCATTATTTATCCTTGTAAGCATGTGCTGCCTCATTTATAATTTGTTGCCAGTTTGCTTATTTTAAGATATCTTTTCTCTGCTTTTTTGAGATGGTAAGCTATTGTTTATGCTGTGCAGTTTTCTTTTAAGAAGTCTAATAAAAACATTTTTAAACTTTGCATTCCTAAGATAAGCTGTGTATCTTCTAACAACTTTGCTGGCTGGGTAGGTACTTCAAGAATTATTTTGATGTTTGTTTGTCTTTTTCCCCTTGAAAGGCAGTTGATATTACCACGTGTGGAAACTTTGCTGTAATTGGGATGTCAACAGGGCAGGTAGATGTGTACAACATGCAGTCTGGCATTCACAGAGGGTGTTATGGCAAAGAAAGAGGTAAGAATTGCTGCACTTTAAAAATATTGCCCCTTAGCAGAACAGGAACAAGCTAGCATTCCGTCATCTCAGAGATTTAACATAGTTTGAGTTGAATTCAGGAATCTTACTTTTCAATTTCTGTATTACCCTACACTGTCCTTTCCAAAACTGTCGTCAGAAATAATTTGAAACCTACTGTGAAGGGAAGGATCCCTGCTAGATTTGATAGTTCTGATGTTAACGTTGTTTGGTTTTAATCAACGCAAATTTGTCAGTTAACAACGTGGTCAGCACTAAAACGAGACCCTCTGGCCTCAGCTATTCTTGAGAGCGTCACACCTCTAGTACTTGGCTTCTTACAGTGTTCTCGCTCTCTCTGAGATAAATTTTTTCCTCTGTTTTGTGCTTCCTGCTTAAAAATGAAGGAATGCTTTCATGCATGGGAATGCTTTTATGCATCGTAAGCAAGTCCAGTTCTTTGCAGATGGGTAATTAAATAATAGTATATGCAAACTCAGCACTTCAACATGAGTGGTGTTCAAGCTTTTCCTTTGAACGATTGTGCGCATGCATATTTCATGTCCTATATCCTCATGTGTCAAATATCCCCATATTTACTGCTGCTTTGTAAGTCTTGTACAGTGCTTATTTGAAAGCAGCTTGTTTTGTGGATTTGGTTCCTCAACTGAGGAAGTAAACTTGTAATATTCAAGCGGAGTTGTCAGGTGGCTTTAGAATCTTTTGTCACGTGCTTACTGCTCACTTAGTATGTTTAGGTGAAGTCATACAGAATAGTGGGCTTGAATTCTGAAATGCACTTTCTTTTACCTTGATTTGTAGCACATGAAGGGGCTGTTAGAGGGGTAGCAGTGGATGGATTAAACCAGCTGACAATCACGGCTGGTAGTGAAGGATTAATTAAATTTTGGAAATTCAAAACTAAAGACCTAGTTCACTCCACTGATCTCTCGTCTTCTCCAAGTGCGATTCTGCTTCACAGAGATAGGTAAGAAACTAAAGCTATTTCATATGCATATTGTTTTGCTGTAGGTTGCCTAGGACAGCAACCAAAGGTGCTAATAGCGCCTAAATTTCTGATGCTTTGAAGTACAACTGTCTGTTACTTGTATAAGAAATTTTATTAGGCTGAAGAAATACAGCCTAGTCTCTCTGAGATTATTTCGGGATAAAATTTTTTTTGAGCAAGGTTAGGATGTTTTCCTTTTTCTCCGAGTGTTCACTGTCAAATGTGCTATTGATTTTCGGCAGCGGTATTCTGGGAATTGCCTTTGATGACTTCAGTATTAGTGTTTTGGATATAGAAACCAGGAAGATTGTCAGGAGGTTCTCAGGACACCATGGACGGATTAATGACATGGTAATTGTTAACTTGTTTTCCACAACAGAAGGTGACATGTACAAATACTTAATTATTTTTAAAGATGATTAATTTGTCTGCATATATAAATGCATTGAGTATTATGTTCGGCTATGAGCAGTAAAATTATAGATCAACTCTATAGCAGTTGTGGCCATGTTAGTTTGCAAGTTAAAATGTGCGGTATTCAAAAGATCATAAGTTTTTAGCGTGCTTTGGGATTTTATTATAATTTTATGGCAAGCTATAATTTTGGGTTGAACAAAAAAACATAAGTATTAGGAACACTGAAAGTCATGTTGAGGTGTAAATCTGTGCGAAAGTATTGAACTGTTTGTAGACAAAACATGCCAGTTAAATAACTTCAGATCTGTTTATATCTTGTATTTAACACACTTGTGATTCCTTATTTTGCATCTTGTGAAACAGTGCTTTGCAGTCACTGAAATACTCTAGATTTATAGCTTCCAATTTAATTCTAAAGTATTAGGAAGTGAATATTTATTTGATTGCCCCCAACAATAAATGTGTACATGAGGCCCAAAATGCATTCCCTAGAGCCACGTGTAAGCTTTGTCAATATATGTGGACTTATTCTGAAATAGGTTATATTTTTGACCTTTTCTCTGTCTAGTAAGAGACTGTTAGGTTTCTTTTTATGGCCGTTCATTTCATCGTGATCTTAGAGAGTGATCTAATCTTCAACTGTGTAAAACAAGACCTATCATATAGACTACCTTGTCAATTTTGCCTTTAAAGTGATTTTTTTTTTTTTTTAATAGACTTTCAGTCCTGATGGTCGTTGGCTAGTAACTTCATCAATGGACTGTACTATTAAGACTTGGGACCTTCCGTCTGGATGGTGAGTCAGTTTTAAAAGCTATAGCAGACGGTTATGTTAATTCCCATTCTGTTTGTTAAGTGACGGAAAGCCTCTGGCTTTATTATCTGTCACGACCTTGCGCTGTACGAAATTTGAAGTTGCATGTACCCAGTGTTGAGTGTGATGCTAGCAAAATGAGCTTTCCTCTAGGAATATAAAATCTAATTTAGAGTAGCGGCGTCCTGAAGATCTAATGATAAAATATGGAGTAAAAGTATGAAATCGTTCTTTAGCGAGAAGCAGCACAATAATATAAATGGCGAGATGTTACTTAAGATGAATTCTTTAACACTTCAGCATATCATAATGCAGTTGTATTTTCTTATTTACAAAACAAATCCTCTTCTCAATTGCATTCATATTGGCAACACAATAAGGTTTTAGTTCAGTTATATTTTTAATTTGTACTTGCTTGTAACTGCCAAAAATTATGCTGTTTGATCCGTTATGAGTAGTCTTCTCCCAGAGTGAAAAGTTGGTCAAGTGCACAACATTGTTCGGGAGCCCAGGAAAAAATAGGCAAAAATAACTTCACGTTTGCCTAGCGCGTTGTTTTAGCAGCACATCTGATTGATTCTTTATAATTTAAAGTAATGGTGTTCAGAGGGCAGCTCTAGTGCTATCTGGTACTTTATGGTTTCATTTGGATTGATCAATGTTGTTAATATGGTTTAGTAAATAATTTTGCATGCTATGAAAGCTTTCGTTTTACTTCACAGTGTGTGTTGTATCTCAACTAGCAATTGACCTATTTTTAAATGATGCATAGCACCAATCTAAAATGGGTCAGGACTAAAGGAGACTGTCATCGGGCCAGTATGAATGGGGAGGAGATTAACACTCCATTAGGACTTCTGTGTGTTTGTTAACACATTTTTCAATTTCCTTTGCTTCACTCTTCCGCTGTTCTCTTTGTGGAGGTTTGATTTGTATTTGTTGTTAATTTGTTGACGGAGCCTTATCCTTAGGTCAGAGCAATTTCTGTAATGTGTATCCAGTAGTATTATCAAACTCTACTTATTTGCAATTATATGAAATCACTTTTCAATAAATATCGAAACCATTTGTTGAGATTGAAATGCCAAGATCAGTTCAAAGTAAATGGTGCATATCTGTTATGAGAAATAGGTTGATGTGGAATACTTAAGAAGCTAAATAGAAACTAAATTTGTCCAATAAGTGTTTCTGTTTTCTAAGGAAGCTGGAACTAAAACAGCTCTAGGAAGTTAGCTCTAAAATAATGTTAAAATTCCTTGTTGTCTTTCGTTTATGTTTTGACTTGAGTTTTAGCGTTGATAGGTTAAGAAAAGAAATTGAGTGTTGGATGTAGTGTTAGTGTTCATAAAAATTTAAATCTAACGTGTATGATAGGGCATTCAAACCAGTTTGCATGGTACAAACACACACAGTTGAAGAGAGATTTTGCATAAGCGTGAAGAAATTTGTGTAGATGCTTGGCTTCTGAGTTTCCTTTCCACATTTGCTAAAGTAGTTAATTGTCCTCTAAACGCTAAAAATGTCTTCTGGAATAAAATGTTTTCTAAATTCTTTCGAAGGCATGTCAATATGTTTGCAGCAAGAGAAAACTTAATTTTGTTCTTTAAGGGAGTGTTGCATAAACACTCTTAAAATTATATTATGAAAGTTGTTCATTTAGTACCCCAAAATAGGAAAAGATGCAGTTAAAGTTGCTGGGCAACATAAATCCTTTTTCCTGCTTTTTTTGGTGCATATTATAATGCAGTCTTCAGTTACGTGATGACGTGTTTTCCTTGCAGCAGTACCCCTCAGTCTGTGTGCGAGATGAACAGTACTAAGAGGAGAAATAAGTAGCTGATTCAGTATATCAATTGATCTCTTTGACCCTTTTCCCTCTGACTTTCAAATTATAACTTTTTTCTTCTTTTTCATTACTGCTTGAATGGTAACGTTAAATTCACTAGTAAACAGTGACAACAGCACTAGAATGTGAGAAACGTAATATTGTCGATTCACAGACTAATAACTGATGCATAGTAGACGAAATATTCAGCACTTCCTCTGGTGCTGACTGTGAGTGATCAATTAGTTGAAAAACAGAAATAGGCTTTTTTGAAGTCCCTTGCATCTACAGTGACACCTGCTCTCTTTTGCAGTTTTGAATGATCAGTTATTGTGAAAGTGAATCAAAGGATTGTGAAGCTGAGCGTTAACAGAGAGTGCTGTGGCATCTTTCTTTATAAAACTTTTTGTTTTATGCTTTGGATGGAAAACTTGAGACATAGTTAAGAAAGAAACCTGTTGCCATTCAGATGCCCTAGTTGTGAGATCAGACTTTGTCTTCTGACAGTTTCTTATTTTATGCTTTCTGTGGTCCTATTTTTGCAGTAAGGCAGGAAGTATAAAGATGAATGTCTTCAGTCCACAGGCAGGATTCATTTAGCACTTACTGTACATCTTGTGTAAAAAAACACAGGCATGTGTTTCATTGTCCTTCTGAGATTTTTTTTTTTAAAATCCATAATTCTAATAACGATTTAAAAATCAGTAAGTCAGAAAAGTTGATTTAATTCAACTTTTAATTTTTTGTTGTGTTTGTTCTTCGTGGTTACTTTATTGAACAATAATTCTCACTTATTGATAAAGATTAAATTAAAAAGACGGATTTGCAACAAAAACAGTCCTTATGGTAAATTTTTTAGCCAGCATACACTACATTGATGCATACTCAGGCATTTATGGGTTTAGTGTTCGTTTATTTTTATGTTGGAAGTGGTGAATGATGCGCTTCTCATCTGATTAGCTTTTAACTTGTAATTTGTGTCTAACAGCATTCAAAAGGAATATTAAAAAATTCCATTCAGTGCACAAAAATGGAATTTTTAACTTCATTTATCAAATCTTCATAAGAGTGCTGAATACCTTAAAAAATATGTGTTCACAAGATTTGCACTTTAAACTGCTTCATGAAATTAACATTTTTCTGTGGTTTGTGAACAGAAGAAGTTGTTATTGCTCTGTCCTCCATAATTGTAGTGCTAAGTGCAGACAGCCTTTCACACTTTACTATTGATTTCCATCTGTAAACAAGAACAAAGCATTCATCTGTCCATTCAGTCTTCCCCAGTTCTGTAAATGAGCTTATCATCTAACTCAACCACTTCTAAGATTTGAAGTAACTGAAATGTATGCGTCAGCAAGTGACAAGCAGTGCTGAGAACCAGGACCTGAACAGAGGTCTCCTGTGGTATGCATCAGCCCGGACTTCTGACAAAGGCTAGAACTCAAAAGTGACTTATTTTTACACAGTAGTCACAGACCTCAATACATTTTACATTTCTTTTTATGTGATATTTTCTCAAATTTTTTTTGCAGTAGTGAAAGGAGTGATCGGGGAACTGTATATCATGCTGGAGATGACAGCTTGATACATGGCATGACAAACTGTTGTAGATTATCAGATTTTGCAGGGTACAGTTCGTTCTGTACTTCAGGAACATTGGGTTCCAGTCTTAACCAAGTGTGTAGGAAGGATCTTGAGAGAGGGAGTTGACAACTAGTGGTAGAGAATTAAAAGATGAGGTCAAAGCAGCCTGGGGCTGATTGGAAGTGTAAAACTTATTGTCACCAAAAGGTAAGTGTTAGGCCTGAGGAGCTGAATGTGGGCAGATGGTTCATCATACTTTCCACAAACCATCCATGTGTAAGGAGGTAGCATGAATGTACCAGCTCTAGCTGATTTTAGAGAGCTCTAGAGAGGTGAGTGAGTGGTTGGTTGGCCAGTGTCATTCGTATGTTAAGTTCGTATATTGAAAGTGTTCAAATACTACATAGTCTAGTTTGTATATCTGCTTCCAGTGTTTTGCTTGCATTCAGTCATGGTTATGCTGTAATTTCTGTGTTGTGTTTTCTCTCCTTAGCCTCATAGATTGTTTCTTGCTAGACTCTGCAGCTGTAAGCGTTACTATGTCTCCTACAGGAGATTTTCTAGCTTCATCGCATGTGGATGATCTTGGAATTTATTTGTGGTGAGTATATAATACATCCATTTCTGTACAGAATTTGAGGTGGAGAATAATTCTTTTAATCAACTCCATGGCAAAAACAGAATCGTTCTATAAAGTATCACCCTCTAGAGTTTTGTCATCTCTGTTTCTAAATGAGACTGAAATATCATCTGCTGTTGTGATCTGCAAACCCTGAAATCTCTTATGATTAGGACTTTTTCTCATAAATAACTGAACCCTCTTTTTTTTAATGCTTCTCTAAATATAATTCCCGTTATGTCACTACCAGTGTGTTTTTTGTATGACTCTATTTTTGCCCTTCAAAATGTTTTGTCGCTCGTATAGTGTCGCTTTCTGAATGCTCCTCCTTTTGTCCTGCTGTATAATACTGTCTGAGACTTGAGTAGAATTTGGAAATTGTGATGATTTCTGTTTATTAATGATCAGCGCAGGTGTAAACAAAACTGCATTTTACTGCAATCTACTGATGTGGCTTTGAGTCAAATGACTGGTTAGGTCTAGCACTGAAGTAACACACATGATTTGGCCTCATTTTGTTCATTCTAACAGATAGAGATTTCAGTTTACAGTTATTGGCTGTGGTTTTACTTCTGGAGTGTTCAGTTGTTAAACCTTTCTGTGCTTGAGTAAAACGTGCTTCCTTGTCCATAAAACAAATGCTTTTACCTAGCCCTGGCTAATACTGACCAAAAAGTCATTTGGTGATATGATGTGTGCGTTCTCTTTACAGATAACTTCTTTGTGGTTCCAAACTGCAGGACAGTTTTCTAAGAGTACTCCTCTGAATTCTGTGAAAGGAGAATAAATCATTTATATTTGCATAATGCCTTGTATATAATGAGTATACAGCAAGCTTTTTCAGTAGGCAATTTTGCCATTCCAAATGCGTAAAGTGGTTGGAAGTAATTTTACTTCATAATGGCATACGTATTAAAGGCTTTTGACAGTAACACTTAAGTATAACTTTCATGTTTTAGATTTTTAGAAAGCCTATATCATCACATTTCATTTCTTGTTTACCTTGTAGATCAGGAAATCTAATTTTGAATAGAACCTGGTGATTTGTCATAGCGTGGTAGTATCAGATTGCAGCAAAATCTTGTCGAAAATATTTTCTCCCATTCACCTGAAAATTGTTTTTAAAATGTCTGTCTTATTTTTCAGGTCAAACCGTTCTCTGTATTCGCTCGTCTCTTTACGGCCCCTTCCGGCAGATTACGAACCTGCTACGGTAATGCTTCCTGGAACTTGCCCTGTGCAAGGTAATCTGCAGGTGAAAGAGTATTTTTCAGTTTGGTGTTGAATTTCTAATCAAAGACGCTTAGCTTCCTCAGTGAAAACTCAGTGGTGGCGATTGTTTGTTCCCCTTTTCCCCAACTTTTTTGCCTGCATATATTCTGTAGGATTTTTAGTGCTAGATATTGTCACGGTGGCAAGAGAACTGGGTTCAGCCTGCCTGGTTTGTAATCCTTGTTGGATTCCCAGTGGGAAAAAGGCCTAAATTGCATTTCTGATACAGTTAACAGAGAGAAATAGTTGTGCTTCTGAAGGCCTCTAGAGGGAGATCTTGTCTGCTCAAGTCTAGCAGGTTCTCCTAAGGTAAGCGCCTATGTTTGGATCTCTCTGGAGAAGGAGAGACACTGCAAGATTTCTGTATTGGCCGCGTAAAGAAGCAAGGAACTTACTCAGCTATGATGGCTTCATTAAGCATATACTTAATTCAGGTACTTAAATTAAGGAGACAGGATTTCATCCCAAAACTTGGAATGTTCAGTCCTGTAAGCAATGTCTCGTTCTGGCTGAACATGTGAATTCACTTCCTGTCTTTAGCAAACGTAAGACTTCTGTTTGGCTGTGCTAAGCTTTTAATGTTTTAAGTTTCTTTGTGGTTTTAAGCTTTTCTATGACATTCATAGTTTCAGCCGTATGTAATACTATAGAGTTTTGCAAATAGGAAAGGGAAAACGAAAGTGTTCAAGACCACAGAGAAGTCTTGAGAAGACCTAAGGACAGAACCCAGATTTTCATTGGGTCACATTGTGCTTTAATGTTCAGATATTCTTAATTTTTTATGTGCAGCTTCAGTCATAACTGTGAATGAGTTATTAATATTGTGCACATTTAGATGCAAAGATTCTCCAAATTTGTAACTCAAAACTAAGATGACTGTATACGTATTTCACAATAATTAGTTAATAGAAAAATTTTTCTAAGTATTCCATTATTTTCCCTGTTGAACTTAATCTTTATTAACTGGGTAATTTATTTATTTCTGTAGCTTGTCAGCTGTATGTTATGCTAGCACCAATTTATATGGATATTAGATATATTAGATAAACAGAATTTTCAAAAATTGCAAAAGAAATACTCATATTTTAATTAAAAAAAAAAAAAGAGAGAGAATGTGAAGTGTATATGTTAACAATAGTTACCTGTTCTTGAAAGATGTGGATGCAGCAGGAGCTGAAGAAACATGTGGTGAAATGATAGAATATGATTCACCTGAGCAATTGGGGGAGCAGCTGGTAACCCTGTCCTTATTACCTGAGTCAAGGTGGAAGAATCTCCTCAATCTTGATATCATCAAGGTAATGATATAAGCACACCATCACTTACCAATGTAGTATTTGGATTGTGTGCTTTTTCAAAGTAGGTTAAATAAAGGTTATTTCTCCTGTACTATGAAATGGACAATTGTCTGGAATGTTTCTCTGGTGCTCAAGAAATCCTTGAGAAGGAAGGACTGTTTAGTAATTTTTGCGTTATTATTTTTGCCAGGCCTAAAATAGCTATCTGAAAGAAGGCATTTCCGTGTCAACATAGCTTAATAAGTGCCTCTGAAGCTGTTCTAGGTTATGCCTCCAAACAACTGTCAGGCATTCCTATAACTAAGAGAAGAGGGTGGAAAAAAATATATTATACAGCCAGATGTATTTGCTCTTGCCCTGTGAGCCGCGTTTATCTATTCAAGACATGATTCCACCTTCTGTGTATTTTTTAGGATTTTGCAGCAGAAGACTCTATGTTGCTTTTCCCAATGTCTGGGATTGGGGTGGGGAGTTCTACTAAATATCTTCACATTCAGTGGTAAAATGTCTTCCCTGTCTCTTTACTTTTCAGTCGGTCCTTAGAATTTTCACAATAAGGATTTTTTAAAATAATTCTCTTAACAAAAAAAGCCTCCCAATTGTTCTAACTGTGATGATGACTTTAATTCAAATATCTAATTAACAGAAAAAGAATAAACCAAGAGAGCCACCAAAAGTTCCCAAGTCAGCCCCTTTCTTCATCCCAACAGTTCCTGGTCTTATACCACGATATGCTGCTCCAGAACAAGAAAATGATACGCAGGTAAAAACAAGGCTTAATATATACTGCGTACCTTGTGTATTTTTCCAAGCAGATCTTAAATATGCTTTTTAGTCTTCTGTATGACATCTTGCTAAGAACTTTACGAAACCAGTTTTAATGCTTGCTTTCTTCAAATCTCTTTTCCTGTCAGTAGGAAAAGAATCTAATTAGTATATAGAAAATGTTTGCACGTTCATGTACTCTCTTATACTTTCGTGGTCTAGTCAAAGGTAGTAAACCTTGGAGTACTGGCACAGAAAACTGATTTCTACATTCATCTTGAAGAAGCCCTGAGCACAAACAAATGTAAGTTAACAAGATATTTTACTGAAAACGTACAAGCTACTAATATTTTGACAAATGTTTGTTTCTTGAAGGCAGAATTGGTAAGGAATGCGAGGGGAAAAATCTGCATAGTACAGTAGCAAAGGCAGAGAGAATGCATGTTATGTATAGAACTGAACTATATATAGGTAATCAAACTAGATCAAACACAAACAGGATGTGATTTTTTTTTTTTTTAAATGCAGTGTTTTAGTATTTGAATTGATAGTATTCTATTAAACTGCTTCAGAGATACTTGGAGAAGAGAGACAGACATGAGCTGAGTATTTAAAAATCTAGCCAAGCGGTATGGCTGTCTATACTGGGGAACAGGTACACCCAGCTATCGCTGTTGTGGTTGTGGTCCCCATGGCTGCCCTCAGGCCACATCTCTGCTGTAGGGTGGATGTGCTCCAGGGTCTGCGCTGTACTCTCAGGCCCAGGAACCTATTAGTCCAGATCAAGGAAACTGCTGGTGTGTAATATGGCTCCGGGCTGGCCAGTTTACAAGCACCTCTTCCAAAGGCAACTAGGAGATGCAAATGGACAGCATATACTCAAAGACATCCTGGCGTACCACTGGAGTGGAAGCAGGGTTTGCATCTGGGAGCAGGACAGTGGGACATAGATTGTGCTGGACACCTTTTCCAACTACCAATTCCATAATATGCTCTCTTTTTTTAATCTCTTACAGCATAGAGATTAAATAATAAATATTCTCAGTACTGTTAATGTCATAATTGTACTAAAGCTACGTAATGATTTTCTCAGCAATCAAAAATTCACAGGTGGAATCAAATATACTGCCTAAGGAATATTAGCCAATGCCCGTTACCATTAGTTACAGTCTCTTCTTAGCAACTTTAGAAACTGAAGTGCTAATCAGAAGACAGCATTTAAAATTTTGTTACGAACAGCTGTGTGTGTGACCATGTAAGTTTTTTATTTCCATGTTTATAAAGCAGTTGGATAAAAATATCAAAGATCATGTAGGATTGGAGAAATATTGAGGAAGAACGTTTACAAAGAAGAAAGAATTATTTGTAAATCGTATATGTTTCTGCAAGGAAAAGATTTCCCCCCCCGCCCCCCAAAAAATGAGAAATTTACTTAAAACCAATGATTCCCTTAGAAGGACCAGGTGATCCATAACATAGCTTAATCTTAATAGCAACTTAGAAAGGTTTGCTGCAAGATTAGTATGTAGTTTGTCTCTTCTGGGATATATTTGCAACAACAGCTTGAAGTCCAAGTGAGTAGCTTCTTTTGGCTCAGGAGTAGTGCAAAATGACAGTATTATGCTAATTATAAAATTTCTACAGCTTAAAACACAGAAAAAAGAAAAGCAATACAAATATGAAGATGTTGCTTGTATTTTTCAGAGCAAACTTATTGATAGAATACAGCTGCCTTATTAGAGATATACTTCTCTGTAGCATGTGGTGAGAAAGTGAATTAAAGGCAGGATGGCATTTTGGGTAAAAATGAAAAAGTAGGGAAACCATATGAACTTGAGATGTATTGTTACCAAATATCTGCTGGAGAATTTTGAATGTATTTGTCCATGTGAAGGATTTCTAAAGTGCTTTTCTGCAAATGTTATTGATAATTTGTCTTTCAATACTTCAACATAGATACTGCTCCACTTAATTTACTGAAAGACATGGGACCATCCAATATTGAGATAGAACTAAGGGGCTTGGCCCCTGAAGGTGGTGGCTCTGTGGAGGTGATGCTAAGCTTTTTGAGAATGATTGGGATGATGCTGAACAAGAAGTACAACTTCGAACTTGCTCAAGCATACCTTGCACTGTTCTTAAAGGTAACGGTTTTCTGTTAAAACTTGGTGTTAGTCGTAAATGATTGTTGTCCAGTAAAATGATGTGAATTGTCTGTGCAAATTGTCTGGTTTGAAGAATTATCCCAAACAGTTTTTGTTAGAGATGATTTTAAAATGATTTACTCAATGCGTTGGCTAATTTGAAAAATCAGCTGGTCGCAATCAGAAAAAAAAAAAAAAACTTGTAAAAAAACAGATACGATGAAAAGGACAATGCCGGACAGATTTTATTCTAGTATTCCATACTTATGATTGGTATAATTTTTTGTATAATACCTAACATTCTGAATGTTAGGTAATTGCTAAGCTGTGATTTGCTTCATTTTAAGCAAGAAAAGCATTTAATGCACCATGTTTGGCAAAGTAAAAGAGGCATTTTGTTGGACACACTGGAAGCCTGACTTTTACTTTGCATGACAGTGGACTGATTTTGTTTGTTACCTGTTAAGCATCACAAAACTAATAAAATTATTCCTAGATGTGTGCAAGTTAGGAAGCTACCATGATAACATGCAATAGCAGTTACTCTTAGAAAGTAATTCTGTAGAAGAATGCAACCTTTCTGATATGAAAATGTTTACCTGGTAAAGATGCGCTCTACTATATGAAACTGTAGGAAAAATATTATAGCTTAATAGGAAAAGTGTTGATAAACATTCAGACACACGTGGTAATGTCTGCTTAACTTAGATTTTTTAATAGTGCTACTGCAGGAATTGGTTTTAAAGCTAGAGGGAGTATAATGCCAGGCAAGTGTAAGTGTATACTTGTCCTTTTTCCTCTGTTGGGGTTAGATAGAACCCGTGGGGCTGTGTCCCCATAGCAAGTAGTGCAGACCAGTAGGAGTAGATTTGTCAAGTGAAACAGTTAAGGTTGTGAGGTCCTGATCTCTACCAGTGGCTTTTTATTTCTGGTCCCATGGACTTTATACCCATCAGTAGCTGAAACCTAAGGTGATAGAGTTCATCTTCTGGTTTAGTTTCATACTCAGAAATACACTTCTGCTCTGAACTGAAGTGCTAATATAAACTTTATGTGTGATATCTGAGCACAAATATCTCTTATTGTAAATTGTAAGTAAAATGGCTCTGAACTTAACAAAACTCCTAGATTTAAGTTGTAGCAAAGGAAATACCTAGTCCATTTATTAAGCAGTAACAATGTATTGCCTCTGTACAAGATTGAGAGGTTTCTTTTCATTATGCTTTGTTCCAGGATTGCCATTTATTCTATGGAGACATCCTCTCCCTTTATCAGAGTAGGGTGTGCTGACATCATTCTTCTTGCATTATGCAACACAGGTTATTTAAATAATGAACTTAATTGACCTCAGGGCATGTGTTTAGCCTTCCTAATCTGAAGAGGAATTTGTGATGCAGTTTAGGAAGAGAGGAAAGTTGCTCTCTAGAGAAATGTGTAATTAGAATAGATTCAGCAGCAGAAGTATATCTACTAAAATGGTAATGTATTAAAGACATTAATCCTGCTGTATCCTATGTAATATATATGTGGGAGTAAAATGGTTTGTGAAAGACTTCTGGCAAAGTGAAGGCAGCATTACATGGAGAAAATCAATTGAAAGCAAATAATCCTCCCCTTGCTGGGGACATTACTGAAAGCAAACCTGTGGAAGTGAGTGAGGAAGATGATATTCCAAATTTTGGTCATCTGAACTTATTTCACTAACTTCTTATTTTTATTTTCAGTTGCATCTTAAGATCCTCTCATCAGATCCAAGCCTACTAGAAGAAGTATCCAGACTGTCAACACAGCTCGAGGAAACTTGGATCAATTTACAGACTCTGTTCAATCAGAGTCTGTGTGTGTTAAAATATATGAAAAGCGCATTGCTATAAAATATGTTTTTAAATATTTTGGACTGTATAAAAATCCCCTTGGATTATACAACCTACTGCCAAAAAACTGGATTCCAAGCATTATGCTTGGAGCTCTGATGCTGTATTTTATAGTATGCAGCAAAATATTGTTGAAGGTGCATAACTATTTTAGTTAATGTTGGTCCAAGTGACAGCTAATACGTGCAAATTAAATGTACATGTTGTGTTTAAAATAGTTTGTCATTAATGAACAAACAGTTAAAAGGCCGGAGGTAATGCAGCTAGCTATCTGATGCTTTCATGACCAAAAATGTAAATCAGAACAAAGAAATGACTTGCCAAAGAAAAGTGGGAATGTGTTTTCCATGAGGAGACAGAAACTTATATTATGCTTAATAAATTAGTGTTGTTGACTTAAAAATAAAGCACAAAAAGCAACTGAACTATTAAATTATTAATATTGGTTTAAAACAAGAAATATAAAAATTGCATTCCGCTGACATCAGAGGGCCTTTCATATAAGCTATTTATAAAAATTAGTTTTCTTCTCGTTTTGGCGGTCTGGGTTCACTATTTTACCTCAGAGCTTTATTTCTAAAAGCAAGAATTTCTAGCTGCACTACCAATCAAAGAATTAAGAAAGTTCTTTTATAACCAAATTTTCTTACTTTAATTTTGGAGAAGCCATTTCCAAGGAAAATTAGTTATTTTGCTAAGGAGATAAAAATTTTAGCAATAAAAGCTTTGAGTTGTTGGGAATTTTTTTATATCTGAATTGAATGTTATTTTTATGAATTGGTATTTACATTTGAAATAATAGGGTTTGGGGAGAGGTTGGGAACTCTGAAAGGGATTATCTTAAAATTTAAATTTTGTTAGTTGGGAATCCTGCCTTGTATTCATACCAGGAAACTGTTGAACGAGGTGCTTGCTGTATTTCACGTAATCCAGCTGGAGACACTGACTAACAGAGTAACTGATACAAGTATATGTAATTTTGAGTAGAATACTTGAAAGATGGGTTTGCAGTTGACGTAAGATTGAAGGAGTAATGGGTTGGTTTTGTTACTCTGTATACATAATTCTTTTAAAGCAGTTGTATCCTGGAACAAACTATTTGCATACATGTAAACGCAGTGTAGAGTATTCAGTACTGCCTGAAGCAAGCTGCATTTCAGGCTTCTACATGTGGCATTAGATCAGCATCCCTTGAGTTGCTCAGATTTGCAAGAAAGGTTGTCAGGGATATCAAAGGAGTGCAAAGGTGATAATTTGCAAGAAAGGTTGATATCAAAGGAGGGATATCAAAGGAGTGCAAAGGTGATGGGAAATCAGCTTGTACAGCTTCTCTGTGTTCTGACCGTTCTTTATCCATAACTTTGAATCCTATTAAATATTGAAGAGAAAGGAGAATTAGCAGTTTACATACTGCATCATTCTACCAGTAAGGACTGAGAATACTGAGTTAGTGGGCATGATGTACACCTGAATGTGGGTTTTTTTTTTTTTCCTCCCATGAAATCTACTATGCCTTATGAAAATCCTTTTTACCCTAGAATAACTAGCTCCTGGTGATATGTTTCTCAATGAATCCATTCATCAAAATTTCTTGAACTGATCTGAATCAGTCCCAAATCTCTCAAGATTCAAAGAGGTAAATGCATGATAAGCCTGGGAGCTTACAGGTGTTCCTATAACAGTCTAATTTAGCAGATGTTAAGTAACTTCCAAAAATGATTCCTTATATGAATCAACACATCAGAAAACATATGGGTATATAAGTCGGAATACTACAGTACTCTCAGATCTGCCTCAGTGAAGGGAGGGGCAGTGGCAAATTCTATAGAAAAAGAACTTTCCACCTGGGGCGGAACAAAGATCTGTCTAGCCTATTGTCCTGACTCTGGCTAGAGCAAAGAAGGGATGCAAAGGGTCCAGCGAACAGGTCGCGTATCGAGTGATACTTTCCCAAGCACATCACACTGACTTTCAGCAGCCAGCTATTTAGACGCTTCCTGACCCAGCTGTATTCGAACAATTGCGTTTAATAATCTGTGACAGACCTGTGCTCTGTGCATTCATCTAATCTCTTTTAGTAACCATTTATAGTGTACAATATCCTGTAGTAATGGGTCCTACAATTTAATTAAGTGCTAAGGGAGAAAATGCATTTCTCTTTGTATATACCAGACCTGCTACCTACTAGTGTTGTATGCCCCTCCTACTTCTTGAATGTGAGAAGTAGTTGTTCTTCAGCCTCTTCGTGCTTCCCTGCCTCTCTGCAGCAAAGCAATTGTGAAATGGTTTTCTACTGGTGAAGAAAATACTTGATTTTACTAAGTGTGCACATGTAATTTCTTTCTCATTGACTAATATCACAAGATATGCCTTGTGCATACAGTTCTAAACGTTTGGGCCCAAACGTAGCTTCTTGGATGTCCAAGTTACTGATTACGGGTGATAAAATACCATGCAACTGAATTGTTAGAATGGACTTTGCATTTCCCATAAGATCCCGTTTTAGGCTATCAGCACTGTAATGGCATATGCTCTCTGGCGTGAGAAGAAAGATTAGGTGGGTTAAAGGATGTAGTTGGTGTTAAGCCTAGGTTTGCTTCTGAGCAGGACAGCTGCTGATGACTTTGCCTTTCTGAGACGATGCCTGTTCTAGGCTAGCTCTGATGAACAACTTGCATAAAGATTCTCATTTCTGCTGTGTCACAGCACTCCCTCTAGCTTTTTCTGTTATTCTTCTGTGCCTGCCTCTGCTCCTGCACTCCATTTCTGCCATGATTTTCTCTGCTCCTTTGGCTTCTGAGCGTGGCTATCCCATTTAGCAACTTCTGTATGCAGCAGTCTTGTCAAGTTACAGCTCTGATCTTATTCTGCTGTCTTTAGACTTTGTGCTTTCCAAATTGAGTTGGTACTTGTGTTTGTGTTGACGCTAAACCAGACAGTTGGAGCTTGTCCCCACGTTTGATGCTGGATTCTAACTCTAACGCTGAAGGTTGCTCTGCTCTCAGCCCTAATAAGCCTTCAATGGAATCCTTACTTTTCCTTCTTTCAGGTAAAAATAGAATTGTTATGAGGAAAAACATGCAGATGCAATGTGAGAATAAATTGTTTATGCAAACTCCTGCAATCAATGTAGAGCACTGACTTGGAGTACCGTGAACCACTCTGTACATCTCAAGGGGGGTAATTCTAGCTTTTTCAGAAGAAATGTTAGGAAAGGTCACAGGTCTGTACAAATTACTGTAACAGAAGTGTCATTGTCCCAGAGTAAGGAAGTTGGAAGATACTTGTTTGCCCTTTTCTTTCTTCTATGAAGTAGAAAAGCTAAAACGTTTGTTGGCGTTTTGAGCTCTATTGCTGACGGAGCTTAGAGTTGTTTAAAGATCACCAAGGTATAATAGCTTCTCCTTTTGGCTGTTGACATCAGGAGATCTTTTTCTGAACATGATGTGTTAGTATATCAGCTTTTTCCTCAGTATATCACATGCTCTAAACCTTGTGCTGCTAGAGAATTACTTGTTTGGTGAAATGTGATTGGTCTTTAAAAATAACTTACATATTTAGAGATTAGGAATCCAATGAGTGCTTTATGGATGTCAGTGCAAGGAGTCTGCTTTATTTTGGAGGGGTTTGCAGTACATGTTACAGGAAAATGAAATGCTCTCTAAATATCCTTAGCACCTGTACTTTCTCTTTGTGAAGCAGTGATATATTGAGGAAAGAGAAGTGAAGGATCTAATAAAAGGATCCTCCTAACATGGCTGTTTTAACCTCCCCAGGAGGATTGAGTGAGCTCTCTCATGTTCTGTTGCATGTCATGGAGCTTTCCTGGCCAGTACCTGTCTTGGGAAGATTTCTCTTTCCCACTAATGTGTGTACCACTAGTTGGCAAAACGGTCCATTTGGGTCAGTAAAGGAGCACATGTTTGCCCTTCCTATCCAGTGGGTTACAACGCTGTTTTGCTGGCTCTGTAAGTGTTCTAGAATACCAATGGTAAGGGTCATCCTTCTGACAGAACAACGTACTTTGGTGATTGGCAATTACCAGAAACCACCCAAAGCATGCACCAGAATAAGGTTGAATAAAATAATGTATTTGTAGAATTCCAAATCGGTTGTAACGTGTGTAAAGGCTATAAAACATGAATGGAAATAGAAAGAAAACTACCTACTTAAATTAGCTCCAAAGGCTTCTTTCATCCCGTGTTACCCAGTAGCCAAGCTGCTAGCTGCTTTACAGCCATTTGGCTGAAGATGTAGTTCTTAGTGTCTCTTGAGAGGCCCGTCGTCTTAGAGGATCTGGATTTAAGGACGTATCCCTTCCTTTGGTGCCCCAAACTCTCCTTGAGGGTTTCTCAGATTCGTTTGTCTCAGAAGGATTTTGTAAACACGGCTCAATAAAAAATCTCTGTCAATCAATGATGTCCCCTCCTGCTTTGGAAATGTTAATATCCCTTCGGCATGGCTGGATCTGAAAAGTCATCAACCTATTTTAAAGCAGCATATCCCTTTCTGTCATATGGAGGAAAATTTAAAAGCCCAGCTAAATGTGATGGTTTTTTTGTTTTTTTTTTTCCCCCCCCCAAGAGTGTGTCAGGTTACATTTTCTGCCATTTAGGTTTGATTACACAAATAGGGTTATGCAGCTGGTTCTCATTTACAATTGAGATTAACCTTTACATTGGCTGGTAGCTTTAGCTTGATGAAAGGATGAGGGATGACTACCTAATTCCATTTGAAGGATACTATTCCAATGGGATCAAAATAAACATAAGTTATTCTAGCAGTGTTTACATGAGTGTTTTATCCAGATACTTTATTCAAGGTACTAGATAAACATCATATGTCCAGAAATCTGCAGCTCCTTTTAAAGGACAGAGTGTGCTCATTTTGACTCTCTGACCCTTGTTGAGCGTCAGTAATTCAAGGAATTGCTAGGTGGCAGAAGTCCATGTGAAGCAGCCATGAAGGGAAAGGGTGCCTAGGGTTGCTGTCTGTTTTTTAAAACTTGCTGAGAGCTCAGGAGTGAGCAATCCCATTGTGCAAAATGATGGGTGTTGGTTTTTTTTTTTTTTTTTTTTGGCAGAATGCCTACTTGACTAGGGAAGAAGCTTCTCAGTGAACTAAGATGAAAAAAGAGAGCATGCCAGAGTTGGAAGTAGGGACGGACAGCAATGGTGAATTATGAAAGCATTGCTCAAGTACTTAAGGGCAAAATCAGAAAGACCAAAATTCCATTAGAGCTAAGACTGGCAAGGAGCATGAACAGCAGCGTGAAGGTATTTTACAGCTATGCTGGTGGCGAAAGGAAGTTCAGGTAAAATGTGGGTATATTGATGGCTGGGGAAGATGACTTAGTGGGAAGTATGGAGAAAGCTATAGCATCTGACTTTTTTTTTTTTCCCCCCCCCTTTAGTCTTCATAGGCAAAGCCTTCCATTCTTCTGTATGCACCAGCATCCTTTGGGAAAGAGAGGAGCAGCCACCAATGGGGGAGCGATGAGTTAGAGAGACTTTAGAGAACTGGGCGTATTCAGATCCATGAGACTGCATAGAGTTCACTTAACCATGCTGGAAGAGCTGGCCAGTATGATAGCACTGCCTGTAGACTATGAAAAGTCATGTTGATCAGGGAGATTCTTGATGACTGGAAGAAGGCTGGTGTGCTTGTTCTTAAGAAAGGTGAAGAGGAGAACTTGGCCCTACCTCAGTCTTCAAAACAATTGTGGAGCTTGTGCTCCATCTCCAGACATGCGAAGGATAAGAAGGTGGTTAAGAACAGCCAGCAGAGATCCCTGAGGGCAAAACATACTTGACCAACTCCGTTACCTTCTCGGATGGAATGACTGGTTATGTGGACGAGGGAGGAACAGTGAATGTAATAATACAATTCAATACAAATATAGCAGTATTTAATTACTTAATATTCTATTATTAAATATTGCAAATAACTAGGATTAGTCACATGCATGCTGTCAATTAAGATTTTGTAAAAATCAGTGCTTGTCCATTGTGCCATGTAACCTATATACTGTCAGTTGTCTTACAGGTGACATGGTCTGCAGCATAGAGGCAAGAATTATTTTTGCAAGAGCTCAGAATAATTGGCATTACTAAAATGAATTTACTCAAGTTCTAATCATGTCCAATGCATTGTTACTTTGTTATATATCCCATAGCAAAGAAGTTCAACTAGATGCAGCAATGTTGAATAATGCTACTAGTATTGAAGAGATTTGGAACAAGGCTTAGAAGAATTTGACTGCGAAGCAAGTTCGGAGTGTTTCAAGTGAATGCCCGATAAGAAAAATAATTCTAAAATTGACAGGTGCCAAAGCATGCTTGACCATTTTATAAGTAGTTACCTTTTATCACCAGAGGTGATCTGATGCTAGAAAATGTAGAGGGACTGATTTTCATTCTCATGCATCACCACCAGACTGTGTCTCCTGCTTGCAGCTGCAGCACTTTCTTCTTTTTATATGTTCTACAGCCCAAGTACTTTATAACCATTTGGTAGTTTTATTCATGTTTGAGCAAAGACCCTCTTCCCAGCACACAAGGCACTTAGTCTGGGAACAGCATCCGTGAGAAGCCCAAAAACCTTGTTAAGAGAGACCATAAAAGCACGTAGCCAGCTGAGAAAGAGACAAAAGTGCTGTTGTCAGAGGGAAAATGTCGTGTCTAGAAACATCTTCCTAGAGGAAGACTCACTGTGTTGCTTAGGTTTGCAGGCAGATAGGAATCTCCTGGGCAGTAAAAGAAAGACTGGGATGGATCTTTTCAGGAGCTAGGGATGTACTACAGTTAGATCTCGCCCCTTAGCAAGGCAAAGGCCTGAGGTGTTGTGAAGGGGTCTTTGCAGCCAGAAGTGAGAAAGGTTGTCAGTCCTTGGGATGAGGATGGACTTCCAGTGCAGTGGTACCTGGCTAAGGAAAGGATATCCTCTCTAACGATGCTGTCCTCTTTGCAGCATCTCCCACATACTCTAATGAAAATATCAGAGCAGAAAGAGATCCAATGAAAAATAGTTTAGGGAGAGAGCAATACAGAGCCTCTGCTCTTTCTGCACGGGAGGAGAGTGGGAGACAGTGAAGTAAACAGCAGTGATTCTACAAGGAAGCAAAGATCTGTTTGCCAAAAGCCCATACTGGGAAGATACAGGTGTCCACATTTTCCTCCAGTTCCCAGCCTAGCAGTGAGAGCTGTAGAAGCCCTCCCTTCCTTACTGCAAGGTGTTTGCAAGGTTGTGTCTTTAGTCCTTGCATAGTCTACTTAGACAGGCTCACAAAAGTTAAAAAGTGGCCACAGCTGGCTGACAGTAAATGAAAAGGATACCATCTGCATGTGTATGTTGTGGGTTTGTTTGTTTGTTTTTTCCAAATGTTACATACAAGTTGCAAGATGTCTCTTGGGCTTCCTTAGGGGATCAGAGAGGAAAGACTCCCTGGTAAACGGGAGCCAAAGCTGGTCTCAGAGAACTGTAGCTGTTTTTATATAAACTGGGCAATGAGTCCATATATTGCATTGCTAATGCCAAGATATTAAGGGGTTACAGAAAGAAGTGATGATAATGTAGCAGGCAACTGCAAAGATATTTTCAGAGCATTAATCTGGCCAAATTCCATGGAAATTTTTCATATGTACTGATTTTTCCCAGCAGAAACCT